TACAAACGTATTATTAAAAGAGTGCGGTAAAGAGTAGGAAAAAAATATTTACGAAATATTTATTTGAAAAATGCTGATGATGATATGTGTGTCGTCTCTACTGAAATCGTGGGTTGCTCTAGAAAATAATTTGTTCTTTTGACAGCAAGATAGCTAATATGTAGGTATGCTATTCCAAAACCTGCCTATAATCATTTCTATGTAACATTTCTGATTAGTGGCGAATGCGCACCAAAGGCAATGGAGCAATGACAAGCGAGTCTAAAGTTTTAACTAGACCTCCTACAGAATATAATCATTATTTAATATTATAATTCTTTTATGAAAAAACTTGAAAATATTCGCTCAATTTGTCATAAATGTGTTAGAATTAGCATAGATGATAAAGGCAGATTGGTCTACCTGTCATCATATAAACAAAATATGTAGCTTATCAAAGGAATCTAAATCAAAAATTCAAATGCTGTCACAATGAAAAAATGGCTATAGAAAAATTGAAGCTATACCAGGTTAAGATAACCCTTGTGTACTATTACATTTTTAGATTCTACAGGAAATTGTAAGCATATATTATTATCTATACAGGATGTTCCGAAACTATTGTGCCAAAAATTGAGGAATGATAGATCTCGCCAAAATAAACGTTTTTTACTTATAAACCCATAGGCGCATGCGCTTTGGTTAGGTGATAATAGCATATTACAGTCCGCACTGTGGTAGCCACCTTGCACACAAAGAAACGTGTTTGAATGAGCAGAAACTGTGTTATTAAATGATACAGAACCCAAAGAATGCTTGCAGTATTTATTTAAAATAATGATTCACATTAAAAGATGCTGAAAACTACGACCACCCGCCTCAATGCATGTGTAACAGCTTTGTAGCAGAAATATCGAGTAGATTTCTGCAGGAAACCCTTTCCGAAACTGTTTTCCTGTATGCCAGACAAAACATGGGGTACCAACACGACAGACCACCACCACATTACTTGTTAGCCTTAAGAGAACATCTCAACGAAACATCTGGAAAGAGTGATTGTTAAGGGGGCATGGACTCCACGTTCACCAGACCTGACGGAATGCGTCTTTTTTTATGGGGTCATATGAAAGCTCTTGTTTACGACACTCCGGTTGAAATAGCTAGAGGAAGTTAGTAGGAAGGATTGTTGCCGCAGCTGCTGAAATTCTCGAAACACCATGAATTTTTCAACGTGTTCAGGAGGCTATGCTACGGCGCTGTCACGCACGTATTGAGGTGGGTGGTCGTAGTTTTGAACATCTTTTGCTGTGAATCATTGTTTTCAGTAAAAACTACAAGCATTCCTTGGGTTTTGCATCATTTAATAATACAGTTTCTGCTTCAAACACGTTTCTCCGTGTGTAAGGTGGCTACCACAGCGCGACCTGTAATGTTCTATTATCACATAACCAAAGCGCATGCGCCTATGTGTTTATAAGTAAAAAACGTTTATTTTTGCGCGATCTATCATTCCTTAATTTTTGGCACAATAGTTTCGGAACACCCTGTATATATAAAACACAGTTGTGTTGGTATTTGAGCACTTATAACTCGAGAACGGCTGGACTGATTTTTATGATTTTTGCTTTATTGGATTTGTCTTTGTCCATCCTAGGATAATAAATCGAAAAAATCCAAAAAAAAAACAAAAAAAAATTTATCTATTTTACTTATTTATGAAAAAAACTCACTAAGCCCGCATACGGCGCCATCTCTTATAACCGATACCAAGTTTACCGTAACATTTTCATTGCAAACCATGTGGATTTTATTGTCACACACTTTGCACAAAAACAATTTGAGGAAAGCACTTTATTTTTAATTGTTCTTCACAGTAAAAATGTCCAAAAATAAATAGAATGACAATGTTTTAATTGTGTATTTTATTTTGTTGTTGGTTCGTTCATTCCGAAAGAGCGCGAACTGGTCTACCTGTCATTTCTTGACGCTTGACCATTGACGTTCTGTGGCTAAGTTCCGTTTCTCCTCTTAGGCATCCCTTGACAGCCGTGTTCCGTGCCGACTGTTCGGAGTGCTCCGTCCGGCTGGTGTCGAGTGGCAGAGAGCCAGGTTATGAGTCCGCCACAACCATTTTGTATACGGCGCCATATATGATAGGTACCTAGAACGAAGCTCGCCGTTGCGCGGTAATTTCATTGCAGATACAGTAGAACAGAATACTGCTAAGGAACTGGAGCTATTCTGAACAGAACTATTCCACTATTCCGATCAGATAAAGTGGTGCAGAAAGAGTAGATCAGATAGAATAGTGCAGATACAGTAGAACAGATGGAGTATTGCAGTGCATGCAGTGCAGATAAAATGAAACAGGGCTGCGCTGGAGATTTTTTTTGTTTTCTTTAAATTTTTTGAACCATCCTATGCCTGAGTTTATTTATTTGGTGGTACACTTTATAAGAATAATGCCCACAAGATGTCTAAAAAGGGATGATGTAAAATTTTAATTTTAGGTGACTTCTGATCCAGAGAGTAAAAATTAATTTTCTTCGACCAAAGCCAAATTCACCATCGAAAAAAACTGAATTTAATTCAGTTAATAGATACGTTAACACAACATTTAATAGGTATTTAATAATTCAGAGGAGGTACGAAGTTCGCCGGGTCAGCTAGTTATGTATAATATCTTGTACCCAACTTCGACAAATTTGTGTCAATAGCACATTAATGTATTTTTGTGTGCTCCCTAATCGTTAGAGGATGCAAATATCAGATAACCCAATAAAAGGAGGGTTTCTATTCCTTTTCTCGAGATTTTGTATAGAGTACCACTAACATTTTTTAGCAGGGACTTATCAAAGTGCTCTAGAATGCTCCCTTAGGTAGGTAAAAAATTATTGGTGGATAGTATCAGAAAAGTAGAGTTTTTATCATTATTCTTGAGATTTTGGATGAGGTACCGCTATCATCTTTTAACAGGGCTTAGCATTGTGTTAGAAACATAAAACTCTATCTAGGCTAAAAATCCTTAGGCTTAACACCATGAGGAATGTTTGCTGTAGAGTTATAAGAATTGAAGAATAATATTTAAACAAAAAAAATCTGCATTAATAAATTATGAGTTACGCCCAATAATTTCCGATAATTTTAGGCATGAAAACAATAAGAAGGATCAAAGTCTCGGTGCCAAAAGATTTACAAGGTTTATAGAATGTTGACATAGTGTTTTTACAATTAAATGATGCGATGCTTATAAATCTATCGAATCCTATAAAATATACATATACACTAAAAAATAATAGAAATTATGCCGACCTATGGCTAGGCACTCACATGTGCTTTATTTTCCATTAAACGTCCTCTCAGATATCACTAATTATTATCACCTGTTTATTAATTCAATTTTTCAAGAGGTAAATCAAACACACATAAACCTACAACAACGATTCACACAAAACTAATTCCAATACATATTTTGTCTATCAAAAAGAATTCGCGATAAGGTGCCTATGCAGGCAAATTTTTTTAAACTTAAATCACAGGTAGAATAGATAAGCTACATATAGTGGTTTCATTTGAAAAGTTTAATCAAATCTGGTTCAAGTGCACACACTTTATTTTATTATGCTGAAGAAACTGTAATAGATATTCAGTATTTTCAATAACAAAGATTAAATGCAATGCCTTGGATGTGTCACCTTTAACATTAACAATTATTTCGATAAACATTTTTAGCTGACAAAAAGATATTTTGATGCATCATTGTTCCTTATTTTTACAGTAAGGTCGAAGAATATTATAGCTAACGCATATATGTAATATTCTTTGGTAAGGTTGAGTTAATTTTTCTACTTTAGATAACCCATAAAAAAACAGTAACCTATTTATTAGTTTAATCTGCTACCTCCCAGCCTAAATTCAATATTGAATATAATACACTTAAAATCCCAAAACCCTTGGGTCACCTAGTCATTGTTGTAGACCAGCTCTTATCAGAATTTCGCCTTTTTTTTCTAAGATTCCGTTTGTTCTCCGGAACCCTTCGCTTTTGCCGTACGAAGTACTGGGAGCCTAGATGGATCCTCACTTCGTCAACATGCGGGTCTATCCAGAATCCAGGACCCTAGTCTCCCAGTCACCCATATTGATCTGACATGTTTGTCGTGAGAAAATCTTTGTATCGTTTAAATTGCTATTCCCATCGAGCTTTAAACTGCTAGAGGGATCAACATGCATATTTGTTAGGTTCCATAATGAGGTAGCGGGGTGAGAAGGGTGTTTCATCAAATAAACAACAAAGAACGTAAATTTCCACGCAAGTAGTAGAAAAAGAAAAAAGGCCCAGTTGCCGATTTTTTTTTCTGTTTTTATAATAATGAATATCATTCAGCTAAAAGTATCTTTTGTTCAAAATTTTCTGCGTATAATAAAATCATAAATATATTAGGGACATTTTAAATCTATACCTAGAATAATTCTGAAACAACAATATCTTTTATTACCAGTCTAATTTGATTTTATATGGAACTACCTACCTGCTTCTTAAGAAACCTTTTACAGTTTGGAAACGACCTAGAAATTGTTTTGTTTTCCTTCAAAAAGCGAAAATATTCTTTTGAGCTCTCTTTCTCTCTTTTTGTTTGAATAGATCAATCTGGGTCTGTTTTGTGTAGAAGAACAGTAAACCGATTCTAGCTCTCCTCCTATTAACATCTAAAGGTACGTTTTCGCTGGAGCCGTCGAACGCCGCCGTCGACGGTCGCCGTTGACGGTGCCCACTGCTATTCATTTGATTCAATGAGTATGGTTTCTTTAGCGCGTCTCACCGCGACCGTCGTATTTTCATTGAATCAAATGAATAGCAGTGGGCACCGTCAACAGCGACCGTCAACGGCGGCGTTTGACGGCTCCAGCGAAAACGTAGAGATACGTTTCCGTTATCGTGTTTTTGTGACATTTTCAACGTTTTTAGTTTGAATTATTGTGTTTGTGCATATTTATTTAGAAGCAAGAACATTTTAATAATGGGTAAATGTGCTGTATGTGGTCATTATCCGAATAGGGATTTGAAACGTTCGATTCATGGGTAAGTAAATATTTACCATTTATAAATGGCCAACAGTGGCGTAGTAATGTTTTTTAAGCAAAAATGCTAGTATTGGCAGTATCTCTATTGCTGAGTTTTTAATCAAATTGAGTAAGAAATTAAAAACTTAATATTTCTACTATCTTTTATACCCAATATTTACCAAATTTTTAAATAAAAAAAGCTCGAAAAAAATAAAAATAAAAATGATATAGTAGGTAAATGGATAAGTTATATTTTTGTACACTTGGCCAATTAATTATTTATACTTGAACTAGATTTAGGTACTACATTTTTTTAAACAGTGTCAAAACATGCTGTGAAATAACGATTTTAATATTTGTAAGATTTGCCTCATGAACTTCCTCATGAATGATAAAATTGCAAGTCAAATTGAAAATAAAGTAAAAATTTGGTATAGTTGAACTGTTTACATATTATTACTTGAGTACCTACTTGTTCTTATTCATCTAAGCATACTAATTTTGTCCTAACAATTTATTCTTATAAACAAGTATGACTTTTGAATTTAACACAATCACTTTTCAAAACACAATAGAGAATATTTGTGTAGCATCTCGCAAGGGGCTTTTTGCTTTAAAATATATTTTTTAAATTGTTTCTAGACTTCACTTTAAACAAATCAAAGAAAAAGTAAATTTCAAAAATATCCAGTAATAATTAGAGGCGGCCTTTATGGAGGCAGCAGAGAGCATTTTCTATCCTGATCAGCAAATGATTCCTTTCCTCCAAAATCTTTGACACAGTTTGAAATTAATGGCAAACTTATAAATGTACTCAATTAATTGTCGGTTGCTGTTCTTTTTGGCCATAAGCATTAAAATAATCAAAACATGGTATTTTTAGATGGCCTCAAGATGAGGATATTAAGAAAGAGTGGTTAAACCATTTGGGCATGAAAGCAGCTGAAATGACAGTTACACCAGAATCTCGTATCTGTTCAGATCATTTTGATGAAGGTGCATTCCTCCTAAAAAAATATTTGAGAGACGATGCAGTTCCCAAGAGGTAATTTTTTGTTTTAATATTCTAGAAGGATGTTTGTAAAAATTTATGCATTTTTTTATGTGTTGTTTTGTTGTTTATGCTACTTTTTTTAGGTATGAAAAAATTGTTTTGGAGACGAGTACCCAGAGGGAGGAATTCCTTTCAAGGAGTCCATCTTCTACCCTAACTGCAGCATCTCCGAAATCGTCTTGCTCTACTGTGACAGTATCAGAAGAGTCAGTTTTCCATTCCAGTTTCAATGTTTCGTTGGAATCTCAACCATCAACTTCATCTGCAAGAATCGCACCAGAAGTGGCCTTTTCTAGTTCTTCCGAAAATCTTCCACTCAATCCTCCATCAAAAAAAGTACATATTTTCCTTTTTTGCCTTTCTATTGTTTATTTAGTAGTTGTTTATAGTACACATTACGGGTGAGTTACTAAACGCGCGGTGTTCCATATCTCCTATACTAACGCAGATCGAAGAAAAAACTACATACGAAACTTGTAGATAAACATGAGTACTACATTCCTAAATTATTTTCCAGTATACAAGGTGGCCCAATAAGTAGTGGTGATACATAATATAAATAAATGTTTTTTTGAATGACACCCCCTGTATATTATGAGATTTCTGGATTCTGTGGATTCTAGACATATTTCATGTACAATGCCATATACCTATTTTCAACTTTTTCGGAAATTTTGACAGTTGAAAATTAACTTTTTTGCATCTTTGACAGACTGTAAAACTTAAACGGTTGATTTTACAGCAAAACAGATTTTACATTCTTATCCTAGATTTTCATAAGCTATCATTCGATACTAACTTTGTATTCAACCGGAGATTAATAATTTAAGCGGAATTTTTAATCATGGATTAAATTCAAAGTTGGTGTCAAATGATAGTTTATAAATAACTAAAACAAGAATATATGATCGGTTTTGCTGTAAAATTAACCGTCCAGGTTTTACAGTCTGTCAAAGTCAATTTTCAACTGTCAATATTGCTGAAACAGTTCAAGATAGGTACATGAAATATCTCTGGAATTTTCCGCAGAATCCAGAAATGTCATAATATACAGGAGGAGTCATTTAAAAAAACATAACTTTGTGTCAGCACTACTTATTGGGCCACCCTGTATAGTGGAAAATAATTTAGGCATGTAGTACTCATGTTTATCTACAAGTTCTATATTCAGTTTTTTCTTCGATCTCTGTTAGTATTGAATATGTGGACCACCGCGCGTTTAGTAACTCACCCTGTATATAAAGTGTCTCTAAATCGTACTCACCTTTAATGACCTCTTTTAAATAACCATAATTTTTAGTTCTGAAGTTTTGATGAAATCACCATCATTCTCTACGATAACCGCATCAGGAGTGGTCTCTTCTGTAAGTTCTCCTGAGAGTCCTCCATTAAAAAAAAGGTATTTATTTTACTTTTTTCGTTAGGGTAGACGTGATTAATTTGTTATTTATTTGGTATTTGTTTACAAAGTATTTCTGCATCATGCTCATCATAACTTTTTTTTAACTGGAGTTCTGGTTGCAAGTATTTATATCCATTTTTTGACAATATACAACCTTGAGTTACTTCAAGATAAATAGCAATAGCCTCAACTACTGTAATTCCAAAAATTGAAAGCATAGTGGCTTACCCCTTTACGGTGTTTTTTAGTTAAAGTCTTGTTTCAAAATTTAAAAAAATTACATAAGATAATTATTCACCAGTATGCCGCTACAAATCTTGAGAATTATTTCTACTAAAAAAAAAGTTCAAAAAAAATTGGATGTTAACAACTATACTTGCTACCAAAATTTGAGTTAAAAATGCCAAAAAATTATGGATGAAAGTCACAAAAGTTTTGTCCTATTATTCTTAAAATCTTATTTCAGAAAATTTTTCGTCGGTGACATAAACAGCAGTGATTTTTCTTCACCTAACGCAAAACGGTACTGGCGCCAGGCAAAGTCTACCATTTCAAAGTAAAGGTTGAAAATAAAAAATCTACAGAGGGCAAAAAGGCGTCTTATGGATCGTGTCACTAATTTAGGTTCCCTATTAACTCATCTACAGGACAACAAATATTTGTCTGATAGAGCTCAAGAGATACTTAAGGTAATTTGATTATTTTTAATCCTAAATAAGTACCGCTTATCGATCTATTGTTTTTTAGGAAATTGTTCCCACACATGCGAAAACATTATTCAACCGTATGCTAAAAGGATCTTCAAGGCAAAAATAAGTAACTCTTTATGATTAAACAGTGTTTTGTAGCATTTTCTCCATAAGATAGTAGTGCTCTTCAACAACTTTTAAAATATCATTAATTGGATATTATTAAGTACCTATATAGTAGGTACCTCTTATCAAAACTCTTAGATACTAGAAATAAAAAATTGTTTTTAGAATTTCTCAAAATAAATTTGCATAAATATTATGAATCTTCCTTATTTTCTTTTTCACATTATTTTTATATGTCAAAACTGTTGGTGAAAAATACTCGTATACTAGAATAATGACATTTTTTTATTTTCATTTTGTATGATTAGAAAATTATAATATAGGTAAGAATATTCCTAAAAATAAATGTATTTTATTAAAATCCAATTTTTCGAAAATAAATTTTCGAAAATAGAAAAATACTTGACAGTGTGGCGAACCAAGTTAGAGGATTATTTGGGAAAACACAAAAACACAAGTAATTTGAGATAGGACACCGATAGTCAGAAGTGCGTCGTTTCCAAAATACAGGGTGTTAAAATTTAAACAACCCCCTTTCATATCATCTGGAGGGCTAATGCTAGGCTGTTCAAATTTTCAGAGATGATTGATGTAGGAATGATAATTAAAAATTCATAAAATGCACCCCCATTTTTTCCAGGTAGAAAATGGAGGTGCATTATACGAATTTTTAAATATCATTCTTACATCAATAATCCCTGGTAATTTGAACAGCCTAGCATTAGCCCTTCAGATGATATGAAACAACCCCCTTAAAATTCAACACCCTGTATTTTGGAAACGACGCACTTCCGACCATCGGTGTCCTATCTCAACTCTATGATTCCTCTATATACCCTAGCATTTTTGACTAGTTGAACGGGGACACCCTGTATAATAGTATCACCTATTTTGAATGCGCGCTCCCGCTTCATCACGCTATATTTCGAAAACGGTTGGTCGTACAAAAAAATGTATATGAACAATTTTGTAGAAAATACTATTTTACGTATGTTTTGTTCTGGGTTCTTCGTTCTTTGAAGTCAGTTGAACGGAAGCGAGATTTTCGCAAAAAAACGATTTTCGTGACCTTCGATATCTCAAGACGCACAAAGGTAGGCATATTCGATTTTTTTGTGCTTCATTAGAACATCAAAAAATTCCGCTTGTTCGGCCTCATTCCGCAGATGGCCCTTTTTTTGATCTAATTACCCTGGGGTATGGTTGCATTGGTCATTCGCCAGTTGGGAATCAATATTTTTTTCAAGAACATGTGAGCCTGGAATGCGGAGAACAAGGTCAGCGTAGCGAAGCTGATTTTGGATGAGCATTGCCTCAATGCTGGTGGAATTAGTTTCCTGCAACAAAAAGTTGTGCCTTCGGTGGCATGCCAGTTTAGTTCAAGTATTCGTCTTAATCAGAGCTGGTGGTACTTCTGCTCTTTCGATTTCTCTTGCCTTAAACAAGTTAAGTTAGAATGACAACTTTGTAACTTACTTAAAATCAACTTGAAGTCACATGTTAACCATTCTGCCACACATGCGATAGCGCTTCGAAATTGCCTATTGAAGTCAACTTTTTTTTTTTTTTGTCTAAGTGAAGTCTGTCTCCTATTTTCGATCTCTGGCTGTTTGCAGACGATACAACTCTCGTTGAGATGAGCCATAAGTTGAAGGATCTATCGCTGTCAATCAACTACAATGTAGGGCTTGAGGGAATTAGCAGACGGCAGTGTCTCTTAATCCAGGTTCCTTGGCATCACATTAGATTCGGGTCTAACCTACACTCTGACTCCGCCGCATGGGGCCCATGGGGGTTACCTAGTGCAATTTTCCTTTTGCGAAACCTTCGTAAAGTTTCTCAACTCACTGGTCTGGGGACACTCTGGCTCTTGGCGTCCAGTGCAGGGCACTGAGGGTGTTGTTAGTTAAATCTGGGCTTCTGGGACGAGATAAGGTCGGTATTCATTGACAAGATCTTCACCATTCCATCTGGGTTTATATACATGAGTGCTGCCACACATACCTGGATTCTTACAGTCAAAACAATGTGTACCACAATTATCAGACTATGAAAGATGGAAATAATATTAGAGATGTGTTCTTGAGACTGAATAAATCATGATTTTTCCTGAACTGCTGTGCTCCCGTGTTTTACAACATGCTGTCCGCAAGGATCAAATGGTTGCCCCTGGGTTTGACTGGGTTGAAGTTTAGAGTAAGGAGCCTCTTACACGGAATAGCTTTTTACAACATCGTTTGATTTTAATGCTGATAGTGATTATTTGTGTCTAATTTTTGTGTACTTCTAATTTTATTTTTATTTTTGTTTTATACTAAGCTCCTTGACGCTAGGAGTCGTGAATCTTACCAAGTACCTGACAATAAATTTATTTAATTCCGTTTTATTTCATAAATAATTCGCAAGTCTGAGTAAGTTAAGTTTTAGCGCATCCACCATTATGCCAAAGATATAAATGTAGAATCATTAGAATGTATTGAATTTTGATAAGATATTCATTATTTTCATTTTCATAAAGGTTCAAATGTGGTACTATAATAAGTGCATCTTGTATTCAATTCGAAGATTTGCAATGGTGCGCAGTGTGTTCAGGTAGGAGATAATCTCGGAGATAATAAATGAGTTCGAGAAGGGAGGGTTTGAAAGTACAGCAAAAAAGTTGAGGAAAAGGCAGAGTTTTTGTAATGGTGGTAAATATTTCTTTATCAAATATCAACCGAACGCTTTCGCCCTATTGAAGGGGCATCTCAGGGTCGGTCTCGTCAGGCCTGTATAATGGAGACAAAAAAACAGAAATAGAGCATGAGGTCAAACAGATTCACCAAATGTATGGAATATATGAACAAACCAAGACAAAATGCGAAAGGTAAAAAACGGGAACACTCCGCATCAACCAATAAACCGGAAAATCCCATTCAGATTTTCTTAAAAATTCGATCTTATCGTATTTTCCCATTTTTTCTTTTAGATATTCTTTAAATTTTCAATTTTTTTTACAACTCTTCAAGGTTCTTTCATTAATCACGAAAACAATAAACATTTTTCATTGTTTTCGTGATTAATGGAAGACTGTTGCTCTGTTCCTGTCTCCATTATAGGGACCTGACGAGACCCAACCTGAAGATGTCCCTTCAATACGCCAAAAGCGCTAGATTGAAATTTATTGAAATAAAAAATAACTCAACACCATTACAAAGACTCTGCCTTTTGCACATAATAAGTAAGCTTAGACCTAGAACAAGGAATTAAACGAAAAGGGAAAAAAGGCTATAAGGAAAGGGACTTGAAAAATGCCTTCGAATCCCTTTTCAAATGAAAGCATGCTCATGTCTTAAGTTTGAGATTTACAAAACAATAATTATACTTCGGAAGTTGACTTTTTTAGGTTCTGATGGGGCCATTATCACAATAAAAGGCTGTCTGCTTCAAATGGTAATTGCATTATAGGTATGTATTTTTATTTTAAAAAGTTCTCCTAATATTGGTAATTATTCCTTTCAAAATCGTTCAGATTGTCCTTATTATCCACTATAAATAGGTAGGTACTAAGAAATTTATTGGCACATATTAAAGTGCGTTCACAGCATCAGTGCTCTGCCAACTGATAAAGAAACTAGCTTAAGTATTGATTATGCATTTTCATGATATTATGAACAAAAATACCTAACTTGAAAATATAAGGTAAGGCCTATTAACAATTTTTACTAGAAAACATTATAAAAATATTACATACAGATTATTATCCGGAAAATCAAACCAATGTACTTCGAGCAAATTAATTTAATAAATAGCTTCGCAGAACGCTTTCGGCCTCTCGGCCATCCTCAGTGCTAACTGAAAGGGAGAACAACGGTCTGTTAAAATAGTCTGTTCCATGAAGCAATGTGGTGTGGTTGTGTACAGCAGAAGCAGCATGAGCATGAACCAAAATTTGAGGGAGAATGTTGTACTCACTTGTCAGTTAAAGTGCACAGGAACTACTGAATGGACAAATATAGCAACAAGCATACATTGTAAATAGTAAATTATAAAATATATGTAAAAAATTTTGTAAAAGGGCTGGACTACACATTAAAAATCGCGACAGACAGACCCAATGAAGTCCAAATGTCCATTGAAGGGTTAAAGGCATTACCCTAAAATAGAAACGTGATGTCAAGCAAGATCACATTTTGCCTTTCGTTCAACTTTTGAAGTCCCACTGACGTCATCTTTACACAATCCTTTAAGTCATTGTGGTGGTCAATATCCTTGTTCGAGAAGTGTGTTTAAGATGTGATATGTCATAGTGACACTCCATCAGGTGGTAACAATGCAGAGATGCCAACAGAATAGACTCCAGTGGCGTTCTAATTATGGATTTTCCAGCCAAGTTTCAACGGTCGAATCCAGCGAAAGCAAGCTCTAGTACATCAAAGTGGGTTAATTATGTAATCTCCTAAGTAGAGAGATGTAAGGTCTATTCAGGTTAACTTGAATATTTAAACAAGAAGGCTTTCCAGCTCATTAGATATGTGGATGTCCTCAATAAAATCTAGGCGATTGTAGTTCTTGGAACTAATTGGGTGAATAATTTTTGAATTAGGTCTAGCTAAACGTGTGATTTGTGGGTTTAAATCAATGACATCAAAACACAGATAGACCGAACAATAAACAAAATTTTCGTATGACAACATCTCTCTGTCTCTTTTGGGTCTTTGTGCTATCCCCACCACTGAGAATGCCAAATTTTGTCTTGAATCCCTAAATAATATATTTTTCTCCTCTAATTAACATTTTCAATTTTATTTCTGAACTCAATTTGGCAACAGCAGATTATAGCAAAACACCGCCCAGAAGCGGCTTGTTGAATGGCAGGCAGGTGTTGATTGTAGTAGCTAGCTATCTTTATTGCAAACAGGGATTATTCATTAGCGTTAAACAAGAAACGACTAACACGATATTGGTACTCCCAGAATAAAGGGCTCGTATCGAATATTTTCAGTTTATTTGTCAATTTGTTATTTTATTTATTCATCCAATTAAATTTCGAGATATATTCACGTGTGGGCGGGGTTTTTTACACCATTTTGAGCAATGATGTCTCCCTACCCCGACCCCGCGAGCAACTCACCTCTCCTGGCCCATGGGTGGTCTTGTCAACACAACAAATAATAGTTTATGAATGGGATGATCCGTCTATCTGTGTTTTGATGTCATTGGTTTAAATGTTCACCAAATACCAAATTAGACCTGCTTAAGTGTTCAGCGATTCGTGTCTTTAATGGTCTACAAGTACGTCCTATATAATTAAGAACAACTGCACGAATCCCATTCCAACTTAGAGACACCACTTTTGGCTAGATTGTCAATTTTGTCCTTCATCTTGACCAGACAAGAGCCCAAATTATTTCTAGTTTTGTAGGATATTTGTATGTCACTTTGAGGAAATTTATTGGAGATTTTTTTTCTCAAGAAACGGATTAATAAATGGGATTGAAATGTATTTTTTATTTTGAAGTTTGTTTGGAAATATTTCTTTTTTGAGTTTCCTAAGCTTGATTTTGTTGATCAACATCTCAACCAGGCGGGGGTCATAGTCGTTGTTGAAAGCAATTTGTTGGAGAGTTTTTAATTCTTGATTGTAGCTGGCGGGGACATAGGTATGCGACGGTGAGTGTAGCAGTAAAAAACTAAAAAGAAGCCATTCTGTGTTGGTAGGGATGGTTAGAGTGGAAAGTGATCACATGATCAGTTTGGGGTTGGTTTCCTGAATATTGAGAAATGTAATCCATTTGAGTCCTTGTGAATGTTTAGATCGAGAAAACTTAATCTGTCATCAACCTCAAGTTCCAAAGTGAAGGAGATGTTGGGGTGGAGGTTGTTCAACTTATTCAGAAGAAGATTCGCTCCCATGGTCCAAGTACCTATACCAGTACTGCCCTATTGGCGTCCGCTAGAAAAGGTGAAAGGCAGCTACCCATAGCCAGGCCATCCAGCTGTTGATAGAATGTATTGTTGAAGACAAAAAAATCCTGTGAAAGGCAGAGATTCAAGAGAGAGAGTATGGATGTGGTATTGGAGTCATTTGTTTTGCTTTTCAAATAGTCACCAATAATAGGTACTAACAGTTTCGGATTTGGGCACTGTGGTGAAAAAATTTGAGACATCAGAAGAGACAAGCAGTTAACTACGTGGTAGCTGAAGTTGGACAAGTTGTTCGCTAACTCAATGAAATTTTTCACACCAAATTCTGGGGCAAAACCTGTGAAATTAGCTATTAGCTTTAGGACGAAGCTAGCTAGGAAGGAAACTGACGGTGTTAGTGAAACTGACTACTGGCCTGATGGGTATGTTCAGTTTGTGGATTTTGAGTAAACCGTACAATCGAGGCATTGTAGGGTTGCTAGAAATTTGAGTGTATGGCGCATTATGATCATCAAGGAAGGGTTTGAAGTGCTTGATGAGTTTGGATGTTCTTCTGATGCAGCTGTTGAATGGATTTGAAGGTAGGGTAGGGTCTTAAAGGAGTTCTCAGTGAGGAAAGTTTCTACCTTTGAAATGTAAAGTTCCTTCGCCATAGTGACCAGACAGTTGCCCTTGTCAGCCTTGGAAATAGTCAAATTATGGTTCTTAATCTTGACCTCCAGAGATTTTAGTGCCTTGAGTGATACATCATATGCCACTCACTCGACTTTTTTAGATTATTATCAGACAGGCATAAAGCATAGTTGATTAGATTAAATTTTTCTATAATGTACCGTGCATTCAATTTATCTTGATAACATTTTAATTCGCTGTAACTTTTTTGTTTTTGAAGGTATCAAGGTAAACAAAAAAACAAAATGTAGGGTTGGTAGCCAAGTTTTTTTTCAAAGTACCTATAAAACAAAACACTATCAATTTTATGACATATGAGCCTACATTATATTTTTTCAAATGGAACACCCTGTATATTATATATGCGTTTGATAGAATATGTTATTTCGATTACAATGATATAGCACACTTTATATTTTAGTCCACTCGTTTTTGACAAATCGGCAAAAATATGAAATTTTTATATGCACTATCAATGATTCTCCCCCCAAATATCAGATCGCCGCCTAATAAGTTTCACTTCAAAAATTTCATATATTTTTGCCGATTTGTCAAAAACGAGTGGACTAAAATATGGAGTGTATTATATCATCGTAATCGGAATAAGATATTCTATCAAACACATATATAATATACAGGGTGTTCCATTTAAAAAAATATAATGTTGGCTCATATGTCAAAAAATTGATAGTGTTTTGTTTTATAGGTAACTTGAAAAAAAACTTGGCTACTAACCCTACATTTTCTTTTTTTGTTTACCTTGATACTTTCAAAAACAAAAAAGTTACAGCGAATTAAAATGTTATCAAGATAAATTGAACGCACGGTACATCATCACTTACTCCTCATATTCAAAAAAAAAATATCACTTACTGAGACGTTACACTAGGCATTGGAGCGTTGGCTAGGTGAGTTTGTAGAAAGTTGATCCTTTGGGTGAGGTGTGGGTTCATCCCCGCGGCTGCGGACGACAATTTGGGCAATTTAGTGGCCACAGAATCTTCAATAACTCCTTTATTGTTTTGCCCTGCCTGTGAATTCAAATAGCAAGCGTACGCATCTCTTGCTTGCAATGAATTCTCATACAAAATACCTGCAATAAAAATACAATTAACTTCTTATCTTACTATAGTGGAAAGAAATACAAGATTATGAACTATTTTGGCAATTGGAACTTGGAAGCATACTTTTAATGAGCAACATTGGATAGGGTTGCCAGATTTTCAAAATTGAAAAGCAGGAGAAAGTCCATGGGAGGAAAAAATGTTTCGCCGTAGGCGAAATTTTTTGTGGTGCCACGTGGTGTCACAACAAGGTCTGATCAAACCTGCCAAAGAACGGTTTCGGAACCACTCCGTATACGAATTTCAGATTCTACGCACAAATTTTACGTGTTGCGCAGAATCCTGACGGTGAAATGTAGTAAATGTACGGTTCCCTGCGGAATTGGAACAAAGCTATACCTTCGTAGTTTCAGAGGTGTTTTCTCGTGGCCCAAATATTTTAAAACGTTTTTCAAAAATGGCTTAAAACAGAACCACATGACGTCATAATTTCTCGGCGCGAGAAAATGGTTTTAAAACGTGGATTGAAATTTATTTCGAAACGGTTTCAACCAATTTTGATGTAACGTCATGGGTTCATCGCGAGAATATACTGTTTCAAACCTGTTTTGAACCCGTTTCAAAAAAGTGGACGCGAGAAAACGGCTCAGACCAGACTCAGACACCCTAACGAGCTACGCTCCCAGTCTTAAGTAGTTCTATCTTCGTTTGGAATTAGAAATAAAGAAATATGCAAATAATATCAGGTCTGTTTCTGCAGAAATCACAAACCAGTCAGAGTGAATTTCATCGGTTGAAACTAGTTTTCTGACTGTTTTCAATCAATGAAATTCGCTCTGACTGTTTTGTGATTTCTGCAGAAACAGACCTACAAAGCACGCACCCCTCTCGACGTTAATCGTAATGCGCTCCAGTTGCGCTGTGTTGCAGATTTATAAAGCATTAAAATTATGGTAGAAGTAAACAAGAACACCTTAATTTAGAATCATGTATTATTTCATGTAATTTCTATGTTTGAGAAAAGCGGGAGTTTTGTTTAAGTGCTCGGGAGGCGGGAGGTTTAGTAAAAAAGCGCGAGCCTCCCGCCTAAATCGGGAGGGTTGGCAACCCTAACATTGGATTTTTCTATTGCTGAAATAAATAAACAAATAATAAATAATCAATTCAAGAAAAAAGATTAAATTTGATGACAGTGACCATCAAACCACATGAACCTATCAACGGACCTACATTCATCATAGAAAAAGAGAACTTCGGACAACCACGACCGTAATAATTATTGAACACTCGTTATTTTATCAAAGCTCCGAGGTTGTATCGCTCCTAGACATACCTATACCTAGATTATGGAATAAGTATGGTTGTGCTTCGTGAAACAATGAAGAGAAAATCTCAGTCATCGGATAGTTCGATTTTCTGTCATCATCATACTAAGTAGGTGGTACCTACGAGGTTGTATCGTATCTCTTCTAGACACAGCTAGTGTATGCAATACGTGAAGTTGTGTTAGACTATGAAGAGAAACACGAGCTTCCTTTCATCAGATACCTTCACAGGTGTGAGCAAATCACAAACTATGTGGGCGAACTGCATCTTCACAAATGCGTTGGCCGACTTCAGAGACGATGTCGGGATGATATACAAAATATCACAGGAGGGAATTGGATCTGCTAAAGATAGAAGGACTTGGGAAAAATTGGAAGAGGCCCTCATCTAGGAGTGGATGACTACAGACTGACAGAAGGAGAAGAATGTCTATAAAGTTCTTATAATCTGTTGAGACATTCAAGTCAAGTCAATAGGTCAAAGTTTCTGTCACCAACTATGATGCCATAATTTTTTTTCAAATAGGCTGTCAAATTTAAAAACACTTTACTATTGGTATTTGGTGGTCTGTAAAATGAAGCCTTTGGAGGTAGCCTTTGTTTAGTTAGATATTTATTACTATGCTCCTTGTTTTGCGTTCTTAATGGCCTGTCTAATTTCATTGAATAGATTCAATCAAAATCTTCATATGGATATAGCCAGATTTCTGTCATTACGATCAACTGTATTGCCTCTTGTATTCGCAGTTAAATATGTCGTACCGCGTCTAATTTGTTGCTTAAAGTTTCTAATACCTATGTACCTTTGCACTCTATGCCCTTTAGCATTTTTTGTGTCAGAATTACATGACATAAAATTACCTACTGGAACAAAAACCAAAAAATACCCATAAATAATCTTTCTTTTCTTTCACAGCATTGTAAGTGGAAAATTTGGCTGTACAAAAAACAAATCAAAAATAGGAAAAGGAAAAAAAAATTAAAACTGAGAGGTTTTTTAAAGCAACCTACCTAAATTAGCCCAAGCTGCTGAATGACATTTATCCAACTGAACTGCGCATATATAGGCTTGCAAAGCATCCATAGGTTGATTCTGCTGCTGATATAAAACTCCTATACTGCACCATGTGTCTGCATTGCCTTCGGACTTCTCCACTGAATTTCTGTACGCGATGAATGCATCATGCACTTTCCCTATACTCGCATAGCAACGTCCAAGGAGATACAGAGTTTGACCGTTAGCATACTGATCTGCGTCATTAGCCCTCTGAAGGCAGTGTATTGCTAATGGGATTCTTTGACTCTTCTCGCCAAGTAACTCATGACTATGATATAGCCAGCCTAATTGACGAAATATCTCGGATTTCAATGGAGCTGTTATGGATTTGTCCTTGAGTAGGGTTTCGTATTTCTCTTTAGCTAATTTTACTTTTCCTTGTATCTCGAACAAGTGTGCTATATGAAATTTAACTGTAACAAAATAAAAACAAATATAAATACAATATTAAGCTTAAGAAGATATTAAGGATTTTTTTTCACATGGAATTCTACAAACTATGATAACTATGTACGTTCAGTGGCCGCCCTTCTTTAATATTCACATTGGACTATTTAATTAAGGGGTTAGCTCCTAAGGTTAGTTGAAGCTCTTAGAGTTTACTATTGTCTATTTGAAACTGCGAGGCAGTCGTAAATCAATATTATAATCGACTCGCCATCTGCGATCCATATATTTTCCGAATAAGTTATTCTTTTTCAATTTTAAAATGTATGGATACAGTCATATGCATAAAAAAAGCGTACATATGATTAGAATCTATTATTGTGATGTCAGGTATTTACTGGTTAAGAACGATAAAAATTTACCGGGAATAAGTAGAGAAAAGCTGTGGATAATATTAAAAGAATTTTTGCATGGGGTAAAAAACCCTAAAGTCAAAGTCAATTCATAATATATTAAAAAAGCATTATTGTTGGCCCAATGATATTATTGTAGTATTAACAATTATTATTGTGAAGTCTAAAATATCTTTATTAATCAATATAATACTGTTGTAACATTGAAGATAGTTATTGTAAAATAGAAGGAAGTTATTGTGATTGTATAGGTACAATAATTTTAATATAATTTTATTCTTAATATGTATTATTAAAAATATCGTTAAATAAAATATAATAAAAATAAAATGCAAAGAAATCCTCTTCTCACAATCCCTTATTGAAATATGCTACTATAGTTTCGGGGTCTATAATTTACACCCCATCTTCAGGCAACAGAAGGATACAAATCAAAAGTACATCAAAAATATCTAATTTGAATATCACAGCCATAGGATTGATATCAGTCAAAAATTAAAATACTAATTTAAAATTACATTTAGTCAGAATAAACCCAAGTTTATTAGTATTTTAATTTTTGACTGATATTAATCCTATGGCTGTGATATATTCAAATGAGACATTTTCGATGTATTACCTACCTACTTGTGATTTGTATCCTTTTGTTGCCTGAAGATGGGGTGTAAATTATAGACCCCGAAACTATAGTAGCACTTCAATAAAAGATTGTGAGAATAGGACTCTTTTGTATTTTATTTTCATTATTTATTTAACGATATTTTTAATAATGAATATCAAGAGTAAAATCACCAGATGAACCCAAATATGTTGTCAATTCACCATAAGATAATAAAAGTTAAGAAGATTCTAAGAGCTGAGTGCTTCTTCTCGTAGCCAGCTTATTATACCAAAAAAAAATTTAAAAAAGGAAAGTGTGAGGTTAGAATTAAACGTCATTTATATTATTTTACATTGTTGACACGTTGTCTACACGTAAAGTAGACAATGAAAGTCGACGTGTAGACGCACATCCCTGGTGACGTAGGCAGCATGTCGTTTGTTGCCTTGACGTAGGCTGTTTGCACCACAGGTTATGATTCCACATTCGACGGGCTTTTGCTCATATTATGTTGATATGCTTGTCTTATTTTTTAATTCAACTTATCTAATTGACCCAATTATAATTTTATTTTCAATAACTAAAAAGAAATAATAAATAAAGTATCGCATTTTCAAAAACATCGAACACATCGATGTTGTCAACTCGATGTAGGTATCTTATAAATCGATGCATTGCTTTCCGATGTCTATCGATGTCGATACATCGAGGTTTTTCCAAAAATTGCCATCCCTACGCAACGCTCCCATAGAAACAGCAAGATCAACATATTTTAAAATAGAAAAGACCCTGTCTCTTCAGTTTAGTTGTCCTTATTAAGTTAGTAAAGTTAATGTCCAATATAATTGTAACCTGTAGTTTAAAATAAATTAGTGTTTTTTTTTTTAAAAAGTGTCTTCAAGAGTTTTTGAGATAACATACATAGGTACCAAAGTTTTAGACAATATTGGATATTAATTTCTTATTAATCTGCCTTTTAGAAACCTTTCACTTTTTTAATACTAATGATATTATAATAAGGGTTCGAGGACTAGTAAAAGTCTTGAATATATACTTTATTGTTATTTTTATTTTTAATTATATTAGGTCAACAGATGCAAATACAAACTTCATCAGCTAACACAATATTGTAATAAATAGAATTCAAATTGCCTCACTCTCGTTTCTCGTTTTCTACTTCACACTTCATAGCACTAAGTTTTGATCAAGAACTTTTGATTTTTCACCAAAAACTTGTGACATACACACGATTACAGGATACATGATAACACCGATTTTTTCAAAGAAGAATATTCTTAAGGGAAGAGAAATTTAAAATTATTTTGACTACTCCACAGTAATATTGTTAATATTAAAATGGTAAGATAACAAACAACATAACAAACATATTATATTATTAACAATTCTGATTGTTAGTTGTTATATGTATAGTGAGAGTTGTGAATAATAAAATAATTTCACGGTGGCGCCTTCGCCAAACGGTACAGAATCTAACTTGAAATCTAGAAAATACTGCCTAATTCGGGCAAAGAGATTATCGCGTTTATTCTGGATTTTACAAGAATGGATTACAGATATAAAAAGGCCAGTATTGGAATTACAGTCCATCAATCCAGGTAGTGTTGGAGCATCATTCTCTAGTATGAAGATAAAACCACCAACTTTTGACGGTTCTACGTCCTGGACCATGTATATCCGGCAATCTGAAGCCGCATCTAAGTCAGACGTTAGAATTGCGCTTCGGAGACCATTGACCATTACAGACAGGAAGTATTTAGAACTCAACGTAAATCAAGAATTCAAAAACTCGACGAGAGTTTACAAGAATTCGAATCGGAAGTTGAAAAGCTAGTGAGTTTGGCGTTTCCTGCAGCTGGGGAAGACAAGCAGGAATGGATGGCAGTATCTGCGTTTATTGATGATCAAAGATTCCAAGATCCAGGAAAACCTGAGAATGTCTAAGTTCAGGAAAAGTAGCGAAGCCTTTGTCCGAGCATTGGAACTGGAAGCCATCTTTGGTGCCATACGAGCAGTGTCCATTGGAAGACCCCAATTATAAACAATCGTCAAAAGAGGAGGATAGCTTCGAGAATGTTATGAGCAATTTCATAGAAAGAATGGAGAAACTACTACTAGAAGGGAGAAAAACGGGAAACGACTCCAGACAAACACCACCACCGAGAAACCGGGTAGAATGTTACCAGTGTCATGAGCTTGGACATATTCAACGAGATTGAAGAGTAAGGATGTCCTCTCCATTTAGGGATCGTCTCCAACGCATTTCGAGATCTAGAGACGCCAGCCCTAATAACAGACAGGGAAACAAAAACTAACCAGTATGGAGGGGCGAATGCTGGTTAGTAATGACGATGCCCCCAGGGTTGTTTACATGCAATCATTGGGCAGTTATTATAGAGGATTGAGATTCAAAGGACAAATTAATGGAGAATATAAAACCATCACTTTTTATACGGGTGCTGAAGTTTCTATAATTAGAAAAATATTAGTTAAATCTCTGGCAGTCCACCTGCTCACTAGAAACCTGTCACTACGAACAGTCACTGGCGAATCGGAACCAGTTCAAGGAGAAGCTATGCTTACTTTTGGATGCACCACCTTTAGGCACAGAACATTAGTCGCCGATGCCGATATAGAGGATGATTTTATTTTGGGAATGGATTTGATCGGCCAACATGGTCTCTGTGGCGATCCTTCTATGAACATCCTTAAATTTGGTGATAAAGAATTTGTCCTTACTACACAAGAAGAATCTCAAGCCGTTAAGATCCTGGCGACAAACCCAGTGAGGAATTTGGAAGGACTGGGAAGATCATTTGTGGAAAATTGGAAACAAACCCTGGGTGCTGCGTTGGACTAACACATAATTTTATTGGAGATAAACCAGAAAAATTTCTCGTTGGAAAGACTCTAGTAAGAACAAATGGAGATATTATGATAAGAATTGCCAATGTTTCTTCTGAAACAGTAAAAATAAACGAAGGAGATATTATTGAAACTCTCGAACCAGTTAGGCAAATATCGAACTGTGATCTATCAGATAATCGACATTTTGTAAAACCGAAATTGGATACAGGCACCTTGATGCAGACTTTGAAGAAATCATGGAAACACCTCGATCCAGATAGACTTCAAGAAGCCAAAGAATTCATCTTGACAGAAGCAGACGTATTTGTGATGGATAATCAAACCGGACGCACCAGTTTAATTCAACACAAAATTGGTACTGGAATTGCACACCCATTTAGACAACCTCGACGTATGCGAGTAGCTAAACAAGAGGAAGTGGAAAACCAAATTGATAAAATGCTTCAAGAGGGAATTATTGAAAAGTCAAATAGTCCGTGGTTTGCGCCAATAGTATTGGTTACAAAGAAAGATTGAAGTCTTAGATTTTGTGTGAACTATCGTTAGCCTAATGACGTCACTAAGGACAGCTTCCCTCTCCCAACGATACATTAACAACTCTATCGGGCTCCAAATGGTTTTCCATCTTGGATGTTAAGAGTGGATACTGGAAAGTGGCAATACACAAAGATGACAAAGAGAAAACTGCCTTTAGTACCGGAAGCGGGTGATACCAGTTGAACGTAATGCCTTTCGGATTGTGTAATACTCCCGCTACGTTTGAGCGACTGATGCATCTAGTTTTGCGAGGCCTTACATGGAGAACTTGTCTGGTATATTTGAAAAATGATGTCATGATCATGGGAAATTCGTTCCAAGAACATCTCAATAAGCTGAAAGAAGTTTTTGACCGCTTCCAAAACCACGCGACAAACATGAGCTAAGAAGTTTTCTAGGATTATGTTCTTATTATCGAAGATTTGTGGAAGGATTCGGCAATATAGCTGCTCCGCTTCTTCGATTAACGGAAAAAAATCAACATTCAATAGGGTACTTGCATGAAAAATTAAATTGACTATTGTTTATTGCAAACTGTGGCAAATCGAAAAAAAAATCTATGCGTGTTTTTTTTTGTCCTAAAACAATT